ACTCACAGGCGGATCCTTCCCGTCTCTATGAGCTTGAATTGGCGATTGGTTCCCTTTCTCAAGGAGATCGGGACGTCAGGAGCTACTATAAGCATTGTTTGCATCTGTGGACGGAGTATGATCTCGTTACTGCGTCCTTGTTGACTGGGGATGCCTCAGTTGAAGTTCAGAAGGAGCGCACAAGAACACGCGTTATGCAATTTATTATGAAACTCAGGCCTGAGTTTGAGTCCATCCGTGCGTCGTTGATTCATCGCGGCACCACTGAACTTGACACTGTGATTGCAGAGTTACTTCGAGAAGAAACACGGCTGAAGAGTCAATCACGGATTGATGGTCAATCTCAGGAGTCCGCCTTTGCTGTAGGACGCTCGGGAAACTCTTCTAAGCCTCAGTTCGGGAATCCAACAACTGGAGAGGTAATTTGTCACTTTTGTCAAGAACCAGGACATGTTCAGATCCATTGCAAGAAGCGCAATTATTGTAATTATTGCAAGAAGACAGGGCATATTGTGGTGGACTGCCCTACGTTGAACAAGCGTGGAAAGAACCGCTACACTAATGGTTCAGCTGCTGGTTCCGCGACGTCTGCTGGGTTCACCTCTGGTCGAAGACAAGGATCAGCATACGCAGTCACTCCCAACAACCCTGGGCAGCCATCTACTCCCTCCCACAACTCCAGCTCTATTTCTTTCACTCCTGACATGGTTCGCAAACTTGTTCAGGAGGCTTTGCAGGAAGCTCTACCTCAAGCTCTCACTTCCGCCTTTGCTACAGGAGCGGTTACAGGTAAGTCGCCACTTTGGTTGCTCGATTCAGGCGCGTTTAATCATATGACTCATGCAAGGTCTACTTTCGATAAGTTACAACCTGTTTCTCAGCTGAATCTTCGGGTTGCAAACGGTGCACAAGTTCCAGTCCTTGGTCGTGGAACTTCTTCCACGCCCACTATTACTCTTCCTGATACGTTATATGTTCCTAGCTTACTCCCTAATCTTGTCTCGGTCGGGCAACTAACTGAGGATGGTTGCGATGTTACCTTTAATTCTGCTGGTTGCAAGGTACAGGACAAGAGGACGGGGATGGTGATCGGGAAGGGAAGTAAACAAGGCAGAATCTTTGTTCTTGATGAGTTGCAGCAGCCGCCTGGAAGAGCTCACGTCACTCAAGGGACTCACTGTGTTGCGGATGCTGGAACCTCCACTAGCAAGGCCAAAGATTTAATGAGTCCGTTGTGTGAGTCATGGTCAAACAATTCTGTGAATTCTGTTGGGTTGGATTTTTCTAAACATGCGTCAGTTTGGAAATTATGGCATTGTCGGCTAGGCCATCCGAATTCTGCAAGATTATTAACAATGTTTCGTCAGAATTTGATACCTGGAAAGTTTGATTCTTCTTTTGGTTCTCGGTCTGATTGTGTGAGTTGTATTGAAGCTAAGACTACTCAGCAATCTTTTTCGGCTAGTGATACTGAATATGATGCGCCGTTTGATCTTGTTCACACTGACCTTTGGGGTCCGTCTCCTGTCACTTCTCGTATGGGGTTCAAGTATTTTGCCTTGTTCATTGATCATAAGACACGCTATGCTTGGGTTTTCTTTTTGCGTCTTAAGTCTGAGCTGCCTGGTTTAGCAAAAGAATTTGTACAGCAGGTTAAGACACAGTTTGGTAAGACAATCAAGGTTATTCGTTCCGATGAAGGTGGTGAGTTTACTAAACATGAGTTGCTTGATTTCTATAAGTCCGAGGGCATTATTTCTCAACTCTCCTGTCCGGGTGTGTCACAGCAGAATGGTCTGGTTGAAAGAAAACATAGACACGTACTGGAATTGACTCGTGCTTTGCTGTTTCATTCTCATATGCCGAGTGGATATTGGGTGGAAGCAGTGCATACGGTTGTTTACCTGATAAACCGTCAGATTACGTCAGTCTTGGGTCAAATTTCTCCATATCAGGTCTTGTTCTCAAAGCAGCCGAATTACTCTTTCTTACGGGTGTTTGGGTGCACATGCTTTGTTCTATTACCACGAAAAGAGCGCCATAAACTTGCTCCTAAGACTACCAGATGTGTGTTCGTTGGTTATAGTGATAACCACAAAGGTTATCGTTGTTATGATCCAATTAGCAAAAGAATGCGTACAGCATATCATGTTATGTTCTTAGAGCAGGTAATGTACTATTCTCAAGCTCCTACTAGCGCGGAGACATCTCCCACCTCGCTGGATTTTTTGGCGCCCTTGCCCCACTTTGATGCACCTAATGTCACGCCATTGGAGCTTCAGGGAGGGAATGAGAATCGCTCCACTGGCAGCAATGAGAATCACACCATTGGAAGCCCTTCTACGTCGACATCAAGCAGCAACTCATCTTCAAGCTCGGACAGCAACGTGCTTTCATCCTCCCATTCGACTTCGGCCAACAGTTCACCTTTGGGGTCATCCTCGAATGTTTCCGGGAACTCGACCAGTTCAGGTAATATCACCCATAGTTCAGCAGCGGGACATAGTGAAGCAATACCTTCTCCGCCCGCCTTGCGACGATCGAATCGCTCCAACCTCGGCCAACCCCCGGTACGACTATTGGATTATACAGGCTTTGCAACTGATCCTGTGTTCATTCCCGCTACGTATGAACAGGCAGTGGGAATTCCACATTGGGACCTCGCTATGCAGGAGGAGACAAATGCATTGGAAGCAAATGGAACTTGGAAATTGGTTTTACGAAGGCCGGAGATGTCTGTTATTGGGAACCGATGGGTCTATGCCATAAAGATGTATCCTGATGGAACAATTGAAAGATATAGGGCTCGGTTAGTAGCCAAGGGATTCCTTCAGGAACATGGCATTGATTATGAAGAGACTTTCGCACCGGTTGTAAAAATGCAAACAGTTCGTTGTGTATTCGCAGTGGCAGCCATGCGTGGATGGCAACTTCTGCAGTTTGATGTGAAGAACGCCTTTCTGCATGGTGATCTTAAAGAAGTTATCTATATGGAACGGCCACCAGGATATACTAAAGGATCGTCTGATATGGTTTGTCAACTGGTTCGATCACTTTATGGACTCAAACAAGCTCCACGAGCTTGGTTTGAGAAATTTCACGGTACAATTGTGCAGTTGGGATTGGAGCAAAGCAAGAATGATCCATCTCTCTTTGTTCGGAATACAGTGGATGGCGTTGTGGTCCTGCTTATTTATGTGGACGATATGATCGTCACAGGGAGTGATGCGGCTGGGATTCAGGAGTTAAAGGCTTCTTTGCACAAAGCCTTTAAACTGAAAGATCTAGGTGAGGTATCATATTTTTTGGGTCTTGAAGTCCGCAGGTCACCGCAGGGCATCTTTGTTTCCCAGAAGAAATACATTTCCGATCTATTGGAGACAGCAAAGTATGGAGACTGTAAGTCATGTGCAACACCCATGGAGCAAAATTTGAAGCTACGGAGGGATAGTGGTGATACTATAGAGGATCAGTCTTTATATCGCAGCCTGGTTGGCAGCCTAATTTATCTCACACATACCAGACCCGACATTGCCTATGCAGTACAGGTTGTGAGCCAGTATTTGGGTATAGCACGAGGTCAACACTTAGATGCAGTGTATCGGATTCTGAGATATCTTAAGCACACTCAGGATGTCGGTCTTTACTTTCCCACTGGAGGTGACCTAAAAATCGAGGCCTTTGCAGATGCAGACTATGCTGGATGCCAGGACACTCGGAGATCGACTTCTGGATGGTGTGTGCGAGTTGGTCAGTCGTTTGTCTCATGGCGGTGTAAGAAACAAGATCGAGTCTCCAAGTCGTCCACAGAGGCGGAATACAGATCTATGTCCGAGGTTAGCTCTGAGTTAATTTGGTTACACAGACTTGTGGAGGAATTGGGTGTTCAGTGTGAGGGCTCGATGATACTATATGGTGACAACACGAGTGCACTCCAGATAGCACTGAATCCAGTCTTGCATGATCGGACGAAGCATATAGAGGTTCATGTTCACTACATTAGACAGCTGGTGGCAGAAGGACGAATCAAGTTGCATCATCTAGCCACAGAAGATCAAACAGCTGACATCCTTACTAAGGCATTGGGATCTAGCAGACATTGGTACTTAGCAGGCAAATTGATGTTACGGACCCAACATCAATTTGAGGGAGGGTGTTAAAAATATAAGTACCATTTTGTAAATATATATGCCTTAGTTAGGGTTAATGAACTCTCTATATATATGTAAGTGTAACCGTGTAACATGAATCAACGAAGCTAATAGCATTGACTTGGAGGGTTTCGGCTCTCCCGTGGACTAGTCCTGTTGATCAGGGAAACCACGTTAAACTCTGTGTCTTCGTTCGTCGTTTAGATTTGATACAAACAACCTGGTAATACAAATGACTTATATTATAAACACATTGTTCTTTTTGCTGAAACTCTTTCTTTTTTCTTTTTCTTTCTAGACTTGTTCTCTCTCTATTGCATGTCAAGAATGAGAAAGGGAATCTTTAAAGAAATTCAAAGGAAAAAACATATATATAATATAATTAATTAAAGCAATTACAATGAAGGGCACTATATTTAGTCAAGTGGGTTTGACCCCTCCTGATTCCTTGATCACCTGATCTTACTCCATTTAGTGTAGTTGGACATCAACTAGCTTGAATCATCAATTATTTGTGCGTGATCCAATTCGAATATTTATATCTACTCACATACTCAAAATCATGTATTTATTTCGGGTTCAAGCCAAGCTGAGAGTTTGGTGTGAATCAAAATGACTCTTTCTCCAGCTAGCTTTTTTGTCTGTATCCCATTTTTATGATCAACTGTATCTCCCAACAACTTTAATACAACCGTCACCCCACCCCAAGACTTCCACCACCCCGAAAAATGGAAAAAAGCCAAACCAAACAACAGAAACCCAAAACCAAAACGTAAACAGAAGTATATAGACGGACGGGGCAATCAATCAAGCTTTGCCATCATTAATAATAATTTAATAATAATAATATCATACATTGAGCTCGCTTCCTGCAACAACAGCTGCTGCTGCTGCTGCAGTTCCTTCTTTCCCAACTTCCTCGCCATCACCACCACCTCGTTCCTCTTTTTCATCTTCCGCAGACTTGGCTATAGTCACGGAGATTATCACCTGCTGGGTGTTGTCCTCAGTGCTAACAACCACAACACTGTCCACATTTGCATTGGTGACAATCACATCATCCTTCTTATTACTCGCCACCTTCTGCTGCTTAACAGGATCAACATCCAGCTCCCTCATCTTGCTTAGTATTTGAGACGATCTGGTACTGCTATCCGCGGGCAACACCTCCGTCCTCCCCTTCTTGTAGTACTTCAAGTACAGCACCATCTGCGTGAACCCGAACGCGAATCCCAAGATGTTTGGAGTCTGGAAAATGATATCATATTGTTACGTGAGCTGGGTTCAGAACGTCGCGCGCGAGAGAGAGACAGTAAGAGAAAGTAGAGGGCTTACTGCAATGTAGTAATCGTCGATGGCAAGGCCGTAAATGAGCCAGAACACGGCGCAGAGCGTGAGGCACAGCGATAGCGAGAAGGGCATGAACTCAACACTCTTGGTCTTCACCACTCGTCGCTGCACACACATACATATAGATGTATCACAAATTTTCATTAGCGCGCGTCAGAGAAAAGAATCAGTTGGTTCTGATAACTCTCAGAAAAAAAAAGAACGTACGATGATGCTGAGTGGGGCGGCGAAGACGCAGACGGAGAAGACGGCGCAGACGAAACCGACGATGTTGATCCTGAGGTGGGAGCTGTGCACGACGAAGCGCGCGGTGGACAGCATGATCACCGCGAGGGCGCCCGTGTTGAACAGGATCAGCAGCTTCGCGGTGTGTATCTGAACATATAATACATAAATACATTTTTCATTATTGAGACTATACGAAACTAACATATTTTTTTTAACCGCCGTAACTTTACCATCCATGCGTTATAGAATATGATGTTACAAGTTGTTACGTTACCCTAACGGATCTGGAGGCGTAGACGAAGAAAATGAGGAGGTAGGCGGACTCGATGACGCAGCCGATGGAGTTGATGGTTACGAGCATGAAGGCCTCCTTTTTCAAGGAAGCGTAGTACAGATACAGCGTCGAGCTGAACAGCGCGACGGAGTAGGGTAAGGACTGAAACCCTTGCGTCGATTTCATCTTCACGATTCTGAAGAACGTCGGCCTGCAAAATTTCGATTCGATCGAATCAGCAAAACGCGGTTCGATAGGATGCATGGCTAGTTGATTGGTAGGGTGGAATATATGAGCAAACTTACAGTGGAGCCAAATATACAAAGAAGGAGACGATGTTGCCTGAAAACCAAATAATATTTGCATGTGTTAATAATTGGTACGTATTATCTTGAGAAGAAAGAAAACAATGGAGACAAAGCTAGCAGGTGTGGAAGGTAAAGTACGTACCGAGGAGGCCAAAAGCTAAAGCAAGGTTGTGGTTGTGGAGTGCCATGGATGGATCCTGTTTTTTTTTTTTTTCTGACTTGACTGAATTATTTCCTTGGCAATATACTTGGAGAGAAATAACGCAGAGAGTAGTAGATAGCTTGTTGATTGCTGCTGTTTCGATCTGCTGCCTGCTTCTTGTGATTGATGCACCAGCGATATTACTATATATATATACATAGCTGGTGGAAGAGCTTTATGGGATTCATTGAATATATTTCAGTAGCTGAGGGCAACAAGCACGATAAAGTTGGGAAGGAGTGGGGAGATGTCGATGACGTGGCAGCTTCTCTTTTGTAATTGGTTACATGGTTTTTTTTTAAAATAATAAATAAATTTGAAAAAACAAAGGACAAAGCATAGGATGGATTAATTAACTTGCTAACTATAGAAAGAGTTAATACCTTGATAAGAATGAGTTGTAGTAATGATTGTTCTTAATAGAGTTGTAGAATTGCTATCCTTTTTACAATTGTAACATTATAACTCTCTGATGCAAACTATAACAACTCATATGTAATCATGATATTGTAAATAACATTATAGATCATTTGCATCACTTTTGCACACAAAATGTAGTAGTTTTTTTTTTGTGTGTGATTATGAATAGAATACAAGATCTCTCTACTATTGTAAATAATTTTGAAAAAAAAATATATTTTGAGATCTCCATTTAACTTTGGATTCAAAATTCTGTAACAACGTTTGTAACAACGTTTAATGTAACATCCCGAATCTTTTCCCGACAACATATTGTCCGCTTGGACCTCTACACCCGCACGGATTTCCCTTGGGGTGTAATTCAGGGTGACTTTCCATAAGGTCACCCAACCTTGTTGTACTCCACACTGAGCACGTTTAACTTCGGAGTTCTCACAAGAACTCCTCCATTTCACCCCAAAACGCGTCTTGTCGGTTAAGGCCGGTTTCTTACTTATGAACCATGGATCTCTCTCGTGCTTTATCGATGTGGGATTTACCTAAAGTGTTACATTTAATATCAACAAAAAAAAAAAAAAACTTAGGGGCGCTAGCTACCAGTTGCCATTGCAAGTGTTGAAAGAGCACTTCCTACAATTTATAACGTGAAGAAACACTTCAGAATCAAATGCGTACATGACTGATTTTTGAGTAGGTATCTTAACAACCCTCATAATTTGCACGATAAATGTATATCAGAAAATTTTTAAAATATGAAAACACGTACGGAAACATACATTATATATTTTTTTAAACTCTGTTGTTTTTTTTTACTGCACCATATTATTAGCAGACAAGACCTCATTTCTCTCTGCCACAAACCGCCCCATCGGATTCATGCTCGGAAGTTGGAGCCTCCCATTTGCTTCCTGCCTGCCTGCCTTCCTCGGCCCACCCACTCTGCTAAACTTTCTCGCATTTGGCGCTAATCAACCCCCTTAATTATTCACCTTCCACGTAGTTCTCGTCCTTCCCAATTTCTCGTGTCCCACCAAACTTCTGGATTAACAGGTGTTTTCTGCTTCCGATATTAATTATCATCTCATTTTTGCCTTCGATTTTGTCATTTTCTCGACCGTATCCTAGTCAGACCCCGACGATATTTCAAGATCTTAAGTACAATATGGAAAAAGACAAATCTACTTTCTCGATACCATCGATCGTTTTCTTTGTGTTTTAATTACTGAAAAATTATCAGAAACTTGTAAGTGACGGAAAATTTAATATGGAAAGTATGCAGAGAACTCACATGGAGACAGGTTGTTAGCCCCAATGAGAGGCGCTTTGGTTACCAGACATTAATGAGATAATTAAGCTTTGATTTTTTTTTCTTGTACTTAATTAATTCATTAATTAACTAACAACATATGGAAATGTGAATGGAAGGTAGTTTACGCAAACACTGTTATGAAATGGTGGATTGAGTCTGGCAATGGCATTGCGAGTGGAGGAGATAAGGTCAGTTGGTACAGCTTTTTCTTTTTTTCTGTTATGGTAATGTTTGTTATAACTATCGAGATCATTATAATCACATTTGATAGCAACAGACAACAAAATGTTAGAGGACGCAATATCTAGAAGGTGGCCAATTTGACTACTGTGGATTCAGATGATACAACACAAAGACAAAAAAAAGGAAAGGAAAGATTATTGTGTAGGAGATATTTGGTATAAAGGGATACGTACGACGTAGAATGGCAGCTTGCAGCTGTTTATATACAGTAAGTATAGCTGACGCCACACTAGCCCTTTGGTTTGACGGCTTTCGATCGGCAGATGAGCATTTATTGATAACTTTGATTGACCAAATTGGCCACTTGCTAGCTAGCTAAGTTCCCATATATTTCTCCCCCCCTATACTGTCAGCTTTTATTCCTTTGTTTTTGTCTCGTTAATTTTGGGGATCCACCTTAGGGTTTCAATTTCAGGGGTCCGGATAGTATAACAACACCCATAGTGTTGTTATACTAACAACAGGATTCATTAAGGGTATAAGGGTAAAATACCATTAATTATTAGATAATAATATATTAAATTAACAGAAAGATAATTATGGACAAGAAGGAGCATCGGAACCCGCCTTCGCTGCTGAGTCGCCATCCTCGCGCATCTCCGCCGTCGCACTCTTAACTTCTCGACCGCCATCATCACTCCGCCGCTTCCAGCCTTCGTCAGTCGCCGCTCCCGTCGGAAATCTCGCCATATATCATCGTCGCCGGCTGTGAATCCGGTCTCCGCTGGTCGAGATAGAAGAGAAGGAGAAAGGGCGATGGAGTCGGGCACTAAAATCAAAATCTCCGCCGCCGCCGTCGCACGATGGCCTCTCGCTCCGTCCTCCTCCGACTGAGATCGCAGCTCCGCTCCACGAAATTACGTCCGCTGCCGGCTCCTCTTACTCCTGCACAAGCATCTTCTTCTCCTCCACTCGCCAGATCGCCTCCGCCGCCAGATCGGAGCGGTTGATTCTCTCATCGATTTCAGATCTCCGTGCATATGTCGGTGGCCGAGCTTTTTTTGTGCTAAGTGCCATATGTGTCGCCCGGAGCTGATGTCATTCTGGCAAATGGTGCCAGTCTCCAGTTATCCAGCCGGAGCTGCTTGCCGGCGGTGTTTTTGATTACTTGCTGGCTTCAGGCTAATTGTGAATCTCAATGCAGTTGAATGAAGTATCGCCGTTGATTTGCTTTTTGGATAATGGATTCCTGTTGCTTTCATTAAGATCTAGCAGTAGTGAGACAGATACAGACGGAAGTAGGTGCACTGCTACAATGAGTAAAATTCCATATGCCTCGTTTTAGATTCCGCCTCGATCTCAGGTCCCCGACTCTTCTCGACGGCGCGGCGCCACCCGGCGCGGCCGAAGACCGTGAACATCGGAGCCCAAGCTCGCCAGATCCAGACCAGGCGGCTGTGGACCTGAGATTTTACATCTTCTTCATTTCGGCAATTTATTGTTTCCGAAGGACCTGGATATTGGGAATTTGAGGAGCCTGAAAGAGTTACGCTTGCGGAGTTGTAAGGTAAGGGAGATTAGGGGCGGAACCATTGGGATGTTGAAAGGACTTTGTGAGCTTGAACTAACAAATGTTTATTGTGAAAAGAATCCAAGAGAAGTGCTTGCTGATATTGGGGAGTTGCAGTTTCTTGATGTCTTGAGAGTAGACGTGAAATATACTCTGGGACGATTTGTATTGCGTAGAGAGAATTTGCTGTTGGGGTCTAAGCTTCCCACAAGTTTGAAGGTGCTACTGACTTCCTCTCCGGTTGCTAATCTTCCAGAGCTGAGAGAATTGGAGGAACTAACAGTTGAAGATTGTGGTAGGTATGGGCTTGAGATCCCGCCAATAAATTTTGGTGGGTTGGGGTTTCCTAACTTTGAATTGCAAACCATAGCTTTGAATTGCAAAAATCTACAAAAAACAGCGTACCAGAAACCTCCCAATCCATACCACAAATCCCCTAAAACAAACCAAAAACCCCACAAAACATACCATAAATATTCCGAAAGCACACCAGAAATCTCATAATACAAACTACAAACACGATAAAGCAAACCACAAACCTCCTAATGCAGACCACAAATATATTAAAACAAACCAGAAACCTCACAAATCAAACCATAAAATTTTCGAAAGCACACCATAAACTTCTTAATGCAAACCAGAAACCTTCTAATGCATACCACAAATCTCCTAAAACAAACCACAAACCTCACAAACCAAACCACAACATTTACGAAAGCACACCGGAAACCTCCTAATGCAAACCACAAACACAGTAAATCAAACCACACAAAAGCAAACCATAAACGTCCTAATGCAAACCACAAATATATTAAAACAAACCAGAAACCTCACAATGCAAACCACAAATTTTTCGAAAGCAAACCAGAAACTTCCTAATGCAAACCACAAACACGATAAAGCAAACCAGAAACTTCTTAATGCAAACCACAAACACGATAAAGCAAACCACAAAAGACATACAAAAATATGAGAAACCAAACCATAAATCTCACAATGCAGACCATAACATCCGATGGTCGTTGACCGTTGACCGGTCAACGAAAACCGTTGACCGGTCAACGAAACCCGTTGACCAAACTCCGATGACCGTCAGTGAGTAGATTCCGGCGCCGATAAGCATATTCCGGCCCCGATGACTAGATTCCGGCGCCGATAAGCATATTCCGGCCCCGATGACTAGATTCCGACGCCGATAAGCATATTCCGACGCCGGTAAGCATATTCCGGCCACGAATAGCATATTCCGGCGACAAAAAAGCATATTCCGGTGACCGGCGACCATTTTCCGACGACCGGTGACAGAATTCCGGCGACCAAAATTTTGGGCAGAAAATAAAAAAATATTTTATTTTTTTTATTTTTTTTTATTTTTTATTTTTTTATTTTTTTTATTTAAATAGATTTTTCATAATGACAATTATACCCCTGCTTTGATTTTACACTAGGTCAACTCATCTAATAAAAAGTCATCACAACCCTAGCTTCCTATTGGTTGGAGACT